TTTTTGAACCCTTATGATCTGGTGGAGCTGAGGTGGATGTGGGTTGCAAAGTGGCTTGCAGATCTGAAGAAACTGGAAGGGCGAGACGTAGCTAATGCTATGCCTTGCTGTGGTGTGGAACAAAGGAGGACAGGCGGTGATGTTACATTATAGGAAGAACATTTATGGAAGACCCTGAATCCTCCCTTAGTTATGCTGCAATAGACGTAGGCTGCCGGGGATTCCCATGATGCACTCACCTCTCTAACTCCCGGTGTGTTTATATGTAATTAGTTTTGTCTTCTCTCATAGTTTGAATTTTTGTCTCTCTATCCCATCTCTGAACAGGAAAGTTAAAGAGTTATTTATCCGCTGTTCTACGTCTTTTGTTGATGTTTTCAAACCTTCCTGGAAAATGAAAAGTTTTCCTGATGCTTTAACGTGTGTTTAATGTTGTAAAAGACTCGATTTTAATCCCGATGGCATCTCTGCCTAAACGTATTCTCACAGTGAGAACAAACGTTTAAATCGGGCCAACAGCAGATCCCCAGAGTCACACGTCACTCCTCATTAAGACTTTCTCAGTCGTTAAAATCAAAATGTGTCATTTTAAGAAAATATAAAAGGCTCTGTTTAAATGATGGGAACACACACACACACACACACACACACACACACACACTGTGGCACATCAGAAGGAACTTGCATTGAAGTTTATGAGCGGTTGTGGCACAGCGGCTGGAAACAACAGCCTCAGATCTAAACAGTTGATATTAAACTACTGCATACAAACACTGAACATTTTTATTTCGTGTCCTAATTGCTCCGTTACCCTGCAACACTTCACAGTGTTTGTGTATCTTTGCGTTTGCTGGATGGAGGCGAGCGGAGCAGAGAGGGAGGAGGATGGCTTCTCCTCGGAGTAAATACAGGCTGAAATATCAGACGACAGCTGCGGATGGAGAAAGCCTCTCACCACTTGTGTATGAAGACACCGTTAAAGGATAACGTGTAATTTCAAGTGTCGGTCGGCCTTTTCCATCCACGGAGCAGCGCGGTCGCAGGTGCAGCGTGATGCACGCAGCTGGATGTGTGTAAGCGGGCGAGTTATTGGATTTGATGAGAGCGGTATAGCTCGTTACACAGCTGAGAGGAAATGACCCTTTTCCCTCTGTTGTTCGCTCCTCCTGTCACAATTTTCCGCTTTTTTCTTTACTCGTTGTCAGAGCTCCTCTCGCTTTTTCTTTCAGTGTTGTTCTCGTGTTTTTGTCTCGACACATTCAGTTTGAGTCAAAAATGTGAAGTCGCTCGTCTCATTAAGAGAAACTCGTTCTTTAAGGATTTTGTCAGCAGTTCGGTGGAGCTTACGTTCTTTGATAAACCCTCTGGAGCTCTGCATAAACCACAGCGAATCATCTGCCTCCACCTCCTCCTGTCCCAGCCTCCTCCTCCGTCACACCGACCCTCTGCATGTCTCCTTCACTACATCCATGAACCTCCTCTGAGGTCTTCCTCTCCTCCTCCTGCCTGGCAGCTCCATCTTCATCTTCCTTCAGATACCTCCATCCTCCCGCCTCTGCACATGTGCAAAGCCTCTGATCAGACTCACCAGAGAAGCTCTCAACACCTTCAGCTCGACCTCCACCGTCTCCAAACATCACAGCAGCTCTCACTACCATCTTTTAAATCTTCCCTTTCAGGCCTGCTGCTCTCTTTCTGTCACAGATCACTCCTGACACTCATCTCCACCCACTTCAACCTGCCTTGCTGCTCCTCTTCTCTCCAGAGCATACCTCCACCTCTCCAGGCTCTCCTCCACCTGTCTCCCTACTCTCACTACAGATCACAGCGTCGTCTGCAAACACCATAGCTCCTCCTGCCTGACCTCATCTGTCAGCCTTTCCATCACCGCTGCAAACAAGACGGGGGTCAGAGCAGCTCCCTGATGCGATCCCAGCACCACCTTCATCCCATCTGTCGCTCCTACTGCACACCTCCTCGTACATGTCCTGCACCACCTTCACATCCTTCTCTGGCACTCCCGACTTCCTCTCACAGATCCACAAAGACCTGGCCAACATCTGCCCTCTCAGAGCAATCACAAGGAAACCTCTCCCACCTGCACTCAGAGAGACTGAGATTCGCTTCTTTTCCACTTGATCTGCTGCACCTTGATGTGTGGTGGGACTGTATCACTCACACTTTCTCACACAGCTGGTTATACATGAGACCACTGCCTGACTTTCTCTCACCCCTATTTTCTTTCACATCCTGGGAATTTTTTTGACTTTACCCTTTGGACATTTTTTATTTGGGACTTTGAATAATAAGCTGTTGTGTAGAACATTCTCCACATGTGAAAGGAGTGTGAGGTTTGTGTAATATGTTTCTATAAAAGTTAAGGTCAGGTTACTGGGGTGCACCCAGCATTGAAAACCAAAGGTAACACTTGGCCAAGTCGTTGTCTTACTAGTTTATGTTAGAGCTGCTCAATTAATCGAATTTTAATCTCGATTACGATCTGGGCTTTCAACGATCATTAAAAATGACTGAGCCGATTATTAGCCCCTCCCTCGTGCTTTACTCTCGCGATGCTCCGTGTGGCAAATCGAGCGCACCTCTCTGCATTTTGAACATGCGTCACAACAATTAAGAGGACCCGAGGGAAGCTCGGAAAGCTAAGCAGAAGTTATTTGTAGAGGAGAGTGATGCCGTTGGTTGAAGAGAGGTAAAAAAACTTCAGTGGTGTGGAAACATTATGGGTTCATGGAGTCAGACGTGGATCAAGTAGACACAGTGTGTAAACTTTGCTACAGTGTCGTAGCTGCACCACAGAGCAACACTGCAAACTTCACTAAACATAG